GATTACAAATATAAAATGACAAATATTTTAGATGACTTATGCGCGTATAGAACACTAAGACAGGATCCGACATCAAGATTATAGACAAAGAATAATTGCCTCATTACACAATTATTAAAGATTGGACTTATTTCAAAGGACGAAAGAAATTAGATGATTACTACCTACTACCTACTAATATATGGACTACCGAAAATTCACTACTCTATTGATTCCCCATCATATCTACTATCCAAATATATTATAAAAAAAATATTAAGAAACTTGACAATGGACTCTAAATACAACATTAAGAATTCGTTAGAGTTCAAAGATAGAGTCAACAACGTCACTATCAGGGACATAGTATTTTTTGACATAGTATTCTATTAATAGAGTTGGTACTGGAAAAAAAAGACGAAAGTGGACCAAATTGGAGGAACACACAACTATACCTAAACAATTTTTTATGGATATAGTTAAATTCTGTATTCAAGAGAACAGGTATTTTAAATATTTCGACAAAATATACATACAAATATACATTCAATCCAGTAATAGCGGATATAATAATCGATATGTTGGACAATATTACTGATAAATTGGCAACAAAACCAAAACTTCTGACATAATATGTAGATTACCTTTTTGCTGTAACGGACGAAACAGAAGTACAAAACAATCTATAAGAATTAAATTCGTTTCACAAACACATCAAATTGACAGTGGGACTAGAACAAGAGTGGACAACTCACTCAAAATTAAGTGGTATATGAAACCCATAGCCTCTAGACGAATAATGAACTTGAACTCTGACCACCCAAAAAGTGTGATTATAAATACAGCACTAAGCTGTATGAGAAGAATGACAAACATATCGGACGCTATATACCATACAAAAATTCAACACCAAATTAAAAACTATTAACCATAAATGACTTCCCGAAGAATAAAATTAGAAAATTATTTAAGAGACCACACATAAGAACACGAAAGACAACAGAATCGACAAAAATACATACACAAATCTCCAACGTACAACGATTATCGGAACGGCTCACAAACTCAGACTGCTATAACAGACAAGAAATAAAAGTAGCCCACAAATACATTAAAAAAATTCTTTAATAATACTAAGGCGAAAATACCAATGTTAAACAAAAGTAACGGCATTTACAAAAAGGCCATGTGTCGGGGACAACAACAATATTTGCAACAACGTGTACATCGGCACAACAAAATAAAAGCTAAAAACAAGAATAACTCAACACAAATCGGACTTCAAATTAGGACATCAAAATAATTTACAAAAAACAGCACTTATGACCCACTGTATGAATAGAAACCACACACCAAATTTCGATGCGACAACAATTTTACAACAAGAACAACACTATAACAAGAGTCATACATTATAAATGTTACACATAATAAACACACCAAACAACAGACGACTAAACTATGAAACGAACACCGAAAACTGCGCTCACTTATACAGACATCTATTGAACTGCCATATAGTTTCAACCTCCACGTCAAAGAGCGCAGACAATGTATGTTTTTTAAATTTTTTAAATAATTGCTTAATTTTATTTAATGTATCTTAATGTTAATTGTTTTTTGTTTTTGTGTTAGTGCCCTAAAGACGGTTGCCGAAGTGCTGCCGAAATATATTGGAAATATTTAAACAAAATTGCGTTTTCATTTTGTCTTGAATAAAAAAGCCCCGGACCTCGAGCCAGCCAATCAAATAATTATAAAATGGAAATGGCGACCTTTCCAATATTAAAAAAAAAGAAATCATATAAAAATTAAACTTTTCTCCTCTATTCAAACCAAAATTTAAAAAACTATGCACAGAAATCAATAACATATTTTGATTAGAATCAGAGCCAACTTCCGGACAAATTTTTGCAAACAAAAGCTGAGATAGAGCCATAAATCGCTAGTATATAAAAAAAAAAAACAATATAGAAATACACGTCAAAAAACTAATTAAGGATGGAATAGTAGAATCATTTAAGTCTAATTTCCAAAAACAAAAATTTATTAGCGGACAGGTTCTATTTCCAAGAATAGAAGAAGTTCTTGATCAGTTTGGTCGAGCCAAATATATTTCGTGCCATGATTGTCCGAATTCCAGGAAATTAAGAATAATAACTTAAATTTTTCAAGCAAAGTCTCACTTAAAAGTAGCCACCAACTTGTTCATGCGAATGATGAAAGTTTCATTTTCTGGTCTAAAACCATCTCAAGCATTTATCTATATTGATGACGTAGTAGTCATCGGATTGCTTCAAAATTCATTCTCTCGGCTATAAACAGACTAGCATAAGCATTTTGCCCGATAAAAAAACGACGTTTTTGAAAATTAACCAACACCTAAAGACGCCGATACCGCAGGTAGATTCGTACCATTTTGCAACTATTACATATTTGCAATGATACAGTTTTCTTAAAGGGCAGTAAGGAAACCTACTTTAGTGAAATACCCTGACTTCAGCAAAGAATTTAGCAAAATCACTAATGCTGGTAATGCATGTGGAGCAGTACGCCTCAAGAATTTACACTCAGGGAGAAAGTAATAACTCTGCTACAGCATTTCAGAACATATGTCTATGAAAAGCATTGCACAGATCATATCCATTAACATACCTCTTTTCAATGAAAGATCCAACATCCAAACTAACTTGTATAAAATTTGGAAGAGTACAAATTTAACGCCCTAGTCTATGAAGTTAGTAGCAACAATTCGTGCAAATTAAGTTTGATATGAATAAGTATTTACTGAAGCATGGAAAACAAGTTATCTCACGACTCGTAGCTTATGTTTTATACTCCAATGGAAAGTTAGACCTTAGGTCCGGTCTTTCAAGGGCTTGATGCAGAAGCTGGGGTATATAGCATCATAAATTTGTAAAGGCCACCTAGCTAGATAATTGATCTGTATATATATATAGAAGCTATGATTTGGTCAATAACAGTATTTCGATATCGATTTTTATCGAATGTCGAGTTGTTTAATAGGAGGACTTATGTTTATTTCAAGTCTCCAGCTCTTATAAGTTCTGAGATCGAGGCGATCATACATATGGGCGGACGGACTGAAGGACGGGCAGACAGACGGACAGACTAACATGACTAGTTCGACTCGACTATTGATGCTGGTTAAGAATATATACAATTAATGTGGTCGTTCTTTTAAGACATTTTCAATGGGATCAGGGTATACAAATTGGGTAAAAGTACTTTAAAAAGTCAACGATTAGCACTGCTTCAAAAGGTGACCACGATTGACAAGAATAATATCGGCCACAAATTTCAAAAACATCCGTGAACGGAAAACGCAATTGAGTACGCAATTACAAATTTTCTATTATACCAAATATTAAGTAACAATACAAAACAAAAGTGTAACAGCAGATACTAGAGATATTCTGGAATATTTTTCACTGAAGTTGGGTTAAATTAAGCCAAAACACACATGACATAAATGTATTGATGAATGAACACAACAGGAATTAATCTAAGTGCAAACGAGCGGTAGTGCGGTTCACCTGTTTTCATTGACTGTTCACACATTGTGCCTTTTGTGGCCGCAATCCCACTACAGGTATGCCAAAGACCGTGTACGTCGCCCAAATTTACGCACACATTAAAAAAAATATCTCAGTGTCACGACGAACCCTTGATCGGTTCATTCGCACAAATTTGTGTGGGTTTGTGTAGGGCTGGAGATTCAGAAATTCGAAAAACTTCAAATCTTGTCAAATTTGCATCGAACAGGCAGTCAACTAACAGGCACACAAACGCATAAATGCTTCCATCCATATAAAAAAGTGTCTGTGGGGTTTGGTAGGAGCAAAAAGCTATCATGAATACATGTCAACGTTCAGGTACCCTTACCAGCAACAAGCATGGAAAATAGTAATTTTGCACATGAACCAGCCAAACCCTTTAATAATATCACACAACTAGTCACTCGAAAGATTGTGCGTGTGCACAAGTAGCAGGTCGCAAAAATTGAACATTTTCATTACCCTTGCAGAAATACGACTCAGTTTTTTTTTATTTGAAGCATATATTAATAAAAAAGTTTTTTTTAAATAAAAATAGATCAGATTCTTCTCATTATGCTTGACTGGACGAGGAAATTCACGATAGAGCATTTAAATGTGTGTGCCTTTTGCTACCACAGGCACACAAATGAAGAACAAATCTATGGCTCGCGATGCCGTGATCTACGTGTGCGCATATCCACACAATACAAACGTATTTAGGTTTATAGATCTCGGGGTTTTTTGAGAAGCTATGCAGGCAGAAAGAGATGCACACAATTGCGCAAAGCAATGAGTGAGAGCGAGGCACACTCTACACATGCATTCACACATATGTTTTTGGAATTAAAAACTAACATACATATGTATATTAAGAAAAGCATCAGCCGCAGCGACGTTGTGCGCTGAGCCGGCTTTCGAGGCCGGCGTTCGGCTGCCACTCTCAGCAGTCTTACTCTCCCAGGGCATAACAAAATGGTCGCAGGCTCATTTGGGGTTTCCTCGTTGCGATTTATCGTGTTTCGATTATTCGGCTGTTTGGTATATATATGCACTGTATGGTTAGTGATTGTAATAAGGATTATAAGCTAGAAAGAGAGGTGATTATGATAAGGATTTTATGCTAGAAAGAGCAGATTTAGTTTGCATAGAAATGAAAGTGGGGATAGGTTTACTTAGGACCGTATGAGGTACAATAAAAAAAGAGATAATATACGAATCAAAATGGAAATAAAAAAGTTCAAAAAATTACATAGAGATGAAACTGCTTTACCAATAAAATATTGTTGTGTATTCATGCATACACGCTCTTTTTTTTACTGCTCTCATTTTGCTAACCATATTTTATGTAATTTGACAGTAAAAATATTTCATGTCAAAATCTGATAACATGGAATCTTTGAATAACTTCCGAAATAAAGAAATTTCCTGTTCAAAATATCCATTTGTCATTCAGGGTACATCTTATATACTTATTTTAAAAAAGAATTTGTTGAAACGGTTACTTACAACTGGATACATGGCCTGCAAACTTGAAACATTATATAAAACAGAGCTTTCCCAAAAACCTCGGCGTGACTGTTCAACTTGAAGCTAAAAGTATATAAAGAAAAAAATTCATTAGTCGAGAGTCCGTTTTTTTTTTTTTTTGCTGGTGTGGCTGTTGAGTAGAGGCGTTTGCAAATAGTGTGGTCTGCTACGAGTTCGAGACCTATCGAGTAAACAGTTTTTTTTATAATATTTTTTATTACTGCTGAAGCAAACGAGCGCGTAGCGCGAACTGAATTTGGTGTTGGTAGAAGAGGGTTCAGGATAGTCCCTAGTCGAGATCTCCCGACTAGAGCCTCTTACTTGTTCTATATAATATTTTAAAAATTTAATTTTTGAAAATTGGTTGTGTCGGTGTCGAACTCGCAACTACCTTCAACCTTTTGAAGGAAATATTCGTATATTGTCAAAAAGTCTTCATTAAATTGTGGCTTAAATTGGTGGGTAGTTTCAATTGATCTCTTTTTTGATTTTGCGAGATTCTATATAGATGGTATAATTTTTCATAAGACAAGATTTCGATATCGATTTTAACGACCGCTACCGGCTATCGGCAACTAACTCTTACTGCGCGGGCACTAGAATGAATGAAATTAAATAATGGTTAAGCTGAAAGTAGCAGTAACTGATAAAAGTGACTAAAATCATTACAGATAACATACGCCTATACAAAATTACCCGGCAAAATGTTACTTTTGTTCTTTTGCGAAAATGGGAATAGGCAAAAATATGCGATATATTTATAACAAAAAGTGTGGCATTGGTCTTACTCTCGCTGTACCCCAATCAAAAGAAGGACCGCTGCAACCTTAAAGTTGTAGCGCTACTGTGTTGATTGCAACTCTATTACACCAAGTAATGTTGCCTTCTCTGCCTCTAGGATAGCCGAGCTTTCCATATGCATTACCTAACGCCGTTTTGGGAAAGGTGAAGTACTCATAGAGTGGGAGAGCACAACATTTTAAACAATGCCGCAGGGAATATGGAGAACATCTCATAGTATTTGCACATTAAACTTAGACCGGTCTAAAAAACGTTTTCAGGCGCTGGATGTAAGCGACGAATTTTTCACTACAATTTATCATATTTTAAACTGTTTTCAGATTTGGCAACTGATAAATTCGCAATAGTTTGGTGACAATTTGCCTTTGCCACCGAGAGGGACAATAGACTTCCAAGGGATCCGTCTTACGTTGAAACCATTATAGAATGGCTTTAACGTTCTCAAAAAATGCACTCAAAAATCATTTTATTTGAACTTCTATCAAGCCCATCTAGGTGAATTCAGCGACGAACACGGAAAACGATTTCACCAGCAAATAATCCGCTTCTAGACTATATTTTTTATTTGAATAAAATCAACGACATCTGGCGAACTTTAACACAAATCAGAACACGCAAATATATAGCTACCATATAAATTGTTGCTCGAAAATGAAAAAAACCTTCATACATGAAACAGCTAGGGAAAAAGTTGGGCCTTTATTTTCTGTACGTAAGACCTACATCGATTTAGTTTTTGTTTGGATCTATAGCTCACTCAATTGCTCTAAGAGCAAGAGTTAGAGAGCTATATGCTTTGTATGATAAAACGGCATCTTACTCTTAGTGTTCTCGCGCCCTTAAGCACATTGTGCCCACAGTGCTCACAAAAGGGGTGATCCTAATATTTTAACCAGTCTAAATTTTTCGCCGGAGTAGCCAGTGCTTCAAGTTCGGGATTAGGCTGTAAATAGATCTGCCATTTGTTCTCGCATCACAAATAGCTTCCTTTTGGTCGGTGGTATTGTACCTTAGTTGACTATTGGTGGTTTCCTCTGTTTGCCTTTCAGCCGCATGCAAGCCGAGTGGGACCATGCCTGCCACAAAAGGCCGTGACTTCCGATTCCGTACGGGACCAAGTGGCTACACTTATGCCGTCTTGCATCATTTGCAGCATCATTCATTGCGGGAGTTAATGTGATAGATCAGTATAGGAATTCGGAACCAGCAATTGGCATTCTGCTCTTTCGCTTTGGGCCTATGTTGCTTGCCGTCATTCGGCTGTTGTAACCGTACTCCACAGTACTCTGTTGTACATGAGCCTTAGAGAACGCTTCCGGCAACCATATATTGTCGCTGGCTATTCTTAGTGTCATAAAGGAGCACTCTCTCTTAGAAGCTATCTTTACAAGCTGGAGATGCTCGAGATGTGTCTGACCGTAAGTACTTTTAGGAATTTCGTCCAGTTGGCAGCATTATAGGCGTTCCTGACAGCCAATGTACAGACTAGGCAGTACTGCATGGTGCCACTTGCCCACCTTGCGCCCTGAATTGCGTTGATTACATGCGTGATGATAGTATGTTTTCTAAAGCCATTTTGGCGTTCAGACTGCCCATGCACTTCAACAAGCTTCATTTCTAGGAGGATACATATCAATTATAATATAAAGCATACACAACGGGTTATAATAGAAGTCATCTACAAATACTTTGCCAGACTTTGGAATAAGCCAAGCACAAGCTTTCATGTGCATGGTTATACATATCCACGAATCTTCTCGGGTGTGCAGCGATAACAGCCTTCATGACGCCATTCAGGACGCCGTCTGGTCAAGGAGATTTGTCGGACTTGAGCATAGCAATCATGGCTAGGACTGTTGGCATTGGCTGCCTGAAAAGCCTTTCCATGACTAGTTTATGGGGAAGTCTGAAAGGCTTCGCGTCAGCAGCGTCACAAAGCTCTTGCAAGTACCGAGTTTTGCTAATTCTGAAAGCTACCTTGAGTGTTTTCCGCTTAGCTCTAAATTAGTGGAGATCAAAATTATTTAACGATCTATACCGTTGGCTCTTCCGCCTTGCTGCGCGGCAGTCTTTACGCACTTTGGCAATCTTCTCGTTGCACCAAGCACGAGTTTCCACGCGAGTTTCCATACTTAAAAACTTTGGCAGTGTTTATTACATGCCTAGGTGACAGTTTCAGTTTTCGCGTCAGCGGAACTGATGTCATCGCCTTTTATGTCCTTCAAGTCCTTCTACCCTAGGGAAGAGTCTTTCCAGATCTATGATGTCCAGCTTGTAACCAGTGTGTTGGAGCACTCTACTCATGCCTCTGCTTCCAGATTGAGAGATGTTTCCTTCTCAGCCGCAAAGTGGTCGTTGTGAGTGTAAGCATCTGATACATGCCGTTTGGCGTCTCGAGCAATGTCTGGGCTGGTGGACGCCAGGTATATGATTGACTGCTTTTCGAACCGCTGTTCAGCAGATAGACATTCATTGGAGCGTGCGGGTCCAGCAGGATGGCTCCTTTGGTGACTTTCTGCTACTTCCCATTCTACTCGTTGAAATCACTGGCTACCATCACAGGAGACTTGCCGTGCGCGTATTGTGCAATGTATTCTAAGATGGCTGCAACTGTATTTCGCCCATGCAAACCCTTTGCCAGCAAGTCCAGTTGGGCGAGCTGGCATTGTGTCTGTCCACAGCAATATAATGCTGCTGCAGCGTATACGATTTCATACCATAATTAAGTATGTTTGATGGTGGATGTTTGCTAATTGCACGAACTTAACCATCCTTCTAAGCCTTTTTGTACTCTGGACAGTTTCAGTGACAAAATGTCTCAATATTTTCTTTTTGATGGTAAAAAATTAAATAATTCCTAAACCATTGAATATTTTTATACTCTGTCCTGGGCTTCATTTTTGCTATATCTTTTTGTTTTATATTGGCCTCTTTAAATCGGATGCAAGCTTTCGTTGGGGCTCAGGCACATTACCGTTCAAAAGATATACATATATGAAACTGCTGATCGTTGACAAAATCGTTAATTGACCGGTTGAATAAAGGATCACTTGCTGAACTAACCTAACAAATCATCCTTTTGCCTAACTTACTTTATATCCTGTGATTGAGTTTTAATGTTTATCAAGATGGTGGTAGATGGTCGACGGCTTTAATACCAGCAGTAATATGTATAAAGAAAATTATTGTCCTTATATATAACTAAAAGAGAATAAAGGCCTGTAATTATTAAAACGCTCAGAAAGTAGTTACTAGAATTTTTTTTTTTTTTTTTTAATTAGTGGTTTGTAAGGACTCTTTTGCCTTATGCACCATTTGATGTCTTTTGTTAATTCGCCATATTTTTACAATTTAAAAAGTTGTTTCGTTATTCTATTTTCTGTATCTATTATCTATCTTGTCTATATTATTGCCGCGTTGCCCTGCGGATGGGTAGGCGTTGTTGGTGGAGTTGGGCAAATGTTCTCCTCCTTAATCTTCTGATGGGACGGGCACCTCGAAGGTTGCTGGCGAGCCTATTGGCGTGCGTGGCTAGCCGGTTGTCATAGGGAGCGTAGTGGGTCCTTATTTGCTCTTCAACCCAGGGGATCCTCAGGTCTCTGTGTAGAACGCTGTTGCGCACGTAAAATGGGGCTCCTGCCATCCTGCGCAGAGTTTTGTTTTGGAGAGATTGAACTCTTTTTCTGTTGGATGGAGTTGCCAAGCCCCAGATCTGTATGGGATATCGCCAGATGGGTGCCACAGTTTGTAAATAAACAAGCCGTTTACTTGGAAGGGAAAGTTTGCTGCGGGGGTTGAGGAGCCAATTTAACTTGGTCAGCTTATTTCGACAGCGTTGCACAGCTCCTTTAATGTGGCTGGCGAAAGTGAGGCGCTTGTCAAGGGTGACGCCCAGGTATTAAGAAAAGCTTAGCTGAGCATTCATTTATAGTTTTCTCGGGCTAGCAAAGTACGTTATAAGTGCGTTACCCTAAATCCATTGAAAATAGGTAGAAATGGGGTTAATGCCTTTGTGCAAATGTATGTAACAGGCGGAAGGAAGTATCTCTGACCCCATAAAGTATATATATTCTAGACCAGCATCAATAGACGAGTTGATCTAATGATGTTCGTCTGTTTGTCTGTCTGATCGAATGTATGAACCCGTCGATCTAAGAACCACCTTGAAATTTTGAACGTAGTGCCTGCGCAGTACGAGTTTGTTTCCTATATACGATAACCAGCTCCGTTTTCAAGCAATCTATTAAAATTCATATGAAAAT